AAATTATTCTGGTTATTCTGGATGCCATTTCAAATATCTTTCAAGCTGCTGAGAAAATAAGTGAAACTGAGAAACTTAGTATAATGATTGAAGAATGTGGAGGCTTGGACAAAATTGAAGGTCTGCAAAACCATGCAAATGAGTCTGTGTACACGGCTTCACTGAGTCTGATTGAGAAGTACTTCTCTGTGGAGGAAGAAGATCAGAAGGTTGTTCCAGAAACTACCTTCCAAGTTCCGGATGGCACTCCTGGGACCTTTAACTTTTAAGATTGTACAGCTGAGTCCTAAGTTGTTTGTTGTGCACTTTGTTTGGTATAAGTTTGTCTTACTGTTTCTCTACTAAGAATTCTTTATAAATGTGATTTGTTATGTAGCATTTTTTACAACGAAACAATACTTGAACAGTTCCAAACTGTACATACTGTATGAAGCCTCTCCTATCATTGGGTTTCTTATTTCTGTGTGGAATTTCATATCTTACTGTGTCCTGTAAATAAAGATTCGATTCCACCCTTTCCTTTTCCTTCAAAAAAAAAGTACCAGGGACTGCTAGAATAACAAATCTGTGCTGGAAGAAGTACAGCCAGAATGCTCCTTAGAAGCCGGGATGGTCAGACTGCATCTCTCATACCTCTGACATATTATCAGGAGGACCCAGTCCCTGGAGAAGAACATCATCCTAGGTAAAGTTAAGGGTCAGAGAAAAAGAGGAAGTCCCCCAACGAGACGGACTGGCACCGTGGAAGCAGCAATGGGCTCAAGCGTAACAATTGTAGGATGGCGCTGAACCAGGCAGCAGCTCGTTCTGTGCTTCATAGGGTCGCTCTGAGTTGGAACTGACCTGACAGCCCCTAACAATGACTTACTCACTGACAGTACCTCTATCGACAACATAAAAGGTGAGTGTTCACATGGACAGCACCAGATGGAATACACAGAAATCAAATTGAGTACATCTGTGGCAAGAGATGGTGGAAAAGCTCCATATCATCAGTCAAAACAAGGCCAGGGCTAGCCTGTGGAATAGATCATCAACCGCTAATATGCAAGTTCAGGCTGAAGCTGAAGAAAACTAAAACAAGTTCATGGGAGCCAAAATATGACCTTAAAAAGATCCTACCTGAATTCAGAGATCATCTCAAGAAAAGAATTGATGCATCAGATATTAATGACTGAATACCAGAAGACTGTGGGATGGCATCCAGAACATCATATAGGAAGAAAGCACAATGTCATTAAAAAGACAGGAAAGAAAGAAAAGACCAAAACAGAGGCCCATAAGAGACTCTGAAATTTGCTCCCCAGCAGACATGGTAAAGCGAATAGAAGAACTGAAGTAAAAGAGCTGAACACAAAATTTCAAAGGGCAGCTCAAGAAGACAAAGTCAAGGGTTATACTGAACTGTACAAAGACCTGGCGTTAGAAAACCACCAAAAGGGAAGAGTATGTTCAGCATCACTCAAGCTGAAAGAACAGAAGAAAACAATTCGTATCTCAACTTGCACTATTGAAAGATTCTATGGGCAAGATACCGAACAACACAGAAGCATCAAAAGAAGATGGGAGGTATACAGAGAATCACTGCACCAAAAAGCAATGATTGATGGTCAACCATTTCAAGCAGTATATGATTAAGAACTAATCGTACTGAAAGAAGAAGTTCAAGCTGCACTGAAGGTATCAGTGAAAAACAAGTCTCCAGGAACCAATGGGATACAAATACAAATCTTTTCAATAAACTGGGGCTGTACTGGAGGTGCTCACTCATACGCACCAAGGAATTTGAGGACAGCTACCTGACCAACTGATCAGAAGACATCCATTATTTGTCCCCATTCCAATGAGAGGTGACCCAATGGAATGCAGAAATCAAACATCATTAATATTACATGCAAATAAAATTTTGCTGAAGGTAATTTAAAAATGGCTACAACAGTACATTGACAAAGAACTGCCAAAGGGTCAAGCCTGATTCAGAGGATGTGGATTGAGGGATATTACTGTTCATGTCAGATGGATCTTGGCTGAAAGCAGAAAATAACAGAGTGTTTACTTGTGCTTTATTGACTGTGTGGGTCATGACAAGCTATGAATAACACTGTGAAGAATGGGTACTTCAGAACATTTAATTAACAGCAATTAAATGTTCTGGAATATTCATCTTACCATGATGGGTATTCCGTGTACCAAGACCAATGTAACAAGACATTCCATGTACCAAGGCCAATACCCATATGGTCTTGGTACACAGACCAAAGAGGCCAAGAGGCAGTAGTTCAAACAGTACAAGGGGATACTGAATGGTTTAAAATCAGGAAAGGGGTACGCTAGGGTTGTATCCTTTCACCATACTTATTCAATCTGTATGCTGAGCAAATAATCTGAGAAGCTGGATTATATGAAGAAAAGTACGGCATCAGGTCTGGAGGATGACTCATTAACAGTCTGCAATGCGCAGATGATACAACCTTGCTTGCTGGAAGCACAGAGAAATTAAAATATTTACTGACGAAGATCAAAGACCACAGACTTCAGGATGTGTGGCACCTCAAAGAAAAGAAAAATCTCTAACACTAGACCAATAAATAACATCATGACAAATGGAGAAAAGATTGAAGTTGTCAGAGACTTCATTTTGCTTGGATCCAGAATCAACACTCATGCAAGCAGCAGTCAAGAAATCAAATGGCGTATTTTATTGGGTGGAGAGCACAATGGTTCCAAATGATAAGCAATGGACTGTGAACCACATGGTCTGCGGTTCGAGTCCACTAGCCACACCACAGGACACAGATGAGGATTTCTATACTTGAGAAGATTTAAAGCCTTGGAAACCCTACACAGAATTGGTATGAGTTGGAACTGACTTGATGGCATTTAACAACAACCACATTGCATCGGGCAAATCTGCTGCACAAGACCTCTTTAAAGTGTTCAAGAGTAAAGATAACAGTCTGAGGACTGCTCCTGATCCAAACCATAGCATTTTCAATAGCCTCATATGAGTGTGAGAGCTGCACAATGAATAAGGAAGATCTTAGAAGAACTGAGGCTATTTGAATTGTGGTGTTGAAGAAGAATATTGAAGGCATCATGGATTGCCAGAAGAACAAATAGGTCTGTGTTGGAAGAAGTACAGCAGAGCGCTCCTTAGAAGCCAGGTTGGTGGGACTTATGTCTTGTACTTCAGACATGGCATCAGAAGGAATCAGTCCCTGGAGAAGGACATCATGGTTGGCAAAGTGGAGGGTCAGTGAAAAAGAGGAAGACCCCCAACGAGATGGACTGACAAAGTGGCAGCAGTAATGGGCTCAAGTGTTAACAACTGTGAGGTTGGCACAGAACCAGACAATGTTTCATTCTGTTGTACGTAGAGCCGCTATGAGTCAGAGCCAACTGGACAGCACCTAATAACCACGACCTCATGAGGATTAAAAGGAGCTCTGGTAGCGTAGTGGTTACGAATCAGGCTGCGAACCGCAAGGTCAGCCGTTCGAAACTACCAGCCGCTCCGCGGGAGAAGGATGAGGCTTTCTGCTCTCGTAAAGATTTACAGCCTTGGAAACCCTGTACAGGGTTGCTATGGGTCGGAACCGACTCGACGGCACATAACAACAAGAATATGAGGACTAAATGAGTCAACACCTGCCAAGAGCCCAGTGTACGGAGAACAAAGTGCGTATTGACTACTGCTAGTCCTTAGAATAACTGATTTGCAGTTCTCCCCCAAGCTGGGACATCACTATTGTTGCCATCTAGTTGCCTTTGACTCAGAGTGATCATTGAATGACTTCCTATGGCTCTGCTACCCCTATTCTTTGTACCGCCCACCAACGAGGAAGCACTAGATGGCTAACTGTAAACCCTATACAGAGTCACTATGAGTTGGGACTGACTAAACAGCACTTAACAACAACAACAACAAGGTCTGGGTAAGAGAAGGTGGGAGATGATGCTGATACGATATCATTTGTGGGAGTAATTAACAGTTCACTGGGATTGTAAAAACTTGGAACTCAAGGCATTTGGTAATATCAAAGAAGTTTTCATAACTTTGCCTCCTGTATGCTACCATTCAAGGATATATTTGCAGCAAAGGTAAATCCCCACGTACAAACATCCTGTCAAACCTATATGCATTTGCAAGCATATTCCCTCTCTTCCTCCTGCCCCCGTTTTGCATGAGTGTCTATCCAAGTTTCTACCTGTAGGTCACTGTTATTGCAGGACTGTGTATAGACCAGTATTGACCTCTGTTGCCTTTAACCCTTGAACTCTTCCCTTTGTCTTCCTGTCTCCATTTTTTTTTTTTTTTGCCACCCTCCCTCTTATTGTATATCACCATCCCCTTTACCCAAGGTAACATGTGTCTACCGTCTATCCTCTAGTCAGTAGGTTGTAATCTTTATGGGAGCACATTACCTGGTCTTTTCTCCTGAGAAGCCATTGGTGGGTTCGAACAACTGATCTTTTTGGTTAGCAGCTGAGCATTTTAGGGGCATCACTAGGCCTGATTAACCACTGACTTTCCAGTGCCCGCGTAGGAGCTGCCACACAGTCGGGGGCTAATAAATGCTTTAAAATAAACTACTGTGTAAATGGAAGCCCCTTTTCCCCAAAGCCAGGACTCACCTCACGAATGGCATTAGATGACAACGCCCCAGGCAGGTCCTGCTTATTGGCAAAGATGAGGAGGGTAGCTCCAGCCAGGCGCTGGGGAGAGAATATAGAAAGGGGCAGTATGCCGTGTGTGTGTGTTTGCATGCGTGTGCGGGGAGGGAGGGTTTCATAGGCACCCCAGCCCCATCCCAGGCAGCTTGGCCCCTCCTCTAATTGTCCAGAGCATCTGGGGTCAGAGATTACTCTGGAACAGGGTTCAGTGGTGGTGGTGGTGGCAGAGACCCAGGTGGAGTGGTCAGTGCGGACATGGTGGGGTGGCAGGAGGCCTGGGCTGGGCGGGGCTCTGGATCCAGTTGGACCACCACACAGTGGTCTCCTTACCCCAGTAAGCCTTGATTCCTTCGTCCATAAATGGAGAGGAATGTTGGGCAAGATGACCCCTATGTGGTTCTTGGCTACTGAGATCTGTACACAGGACCGTGACCATCCCAGAATCCCAGGGCCGCCTCTTTCCCACATTTCCACAGCCCTCTGACTGGTTTACTCCTGACTAGCTTCACTCTGCTTCTGAACCTAGTTACTTCCACATGAGATTGCGATGAGGCTCCTTCCATGGGGAACTCATCATGAAGAGTGTCAACGTGCCAGGCCAAAACTGAGCATTCCACAGCCATACGTATGCTCATCTGCCATCTGACCTGATCAGCAACCCCAGAGGGGCTCCAGGTACACAGGGGACCATCTGTCCCTGGGTGCCCAGGGCAGTGCTGTTCATGCCTGTTGTCCCTGCATAAATCAGTCAATATTTTTTCAAAATTATACCTCTCCATTTCCCCTTCCTCTTTCATTCTCAGAAGCGTTCTGGTTTGAAACTAACCGGAACGCAGTAGTGCGTTACTTCAAATAGCTCTTCTACCCATAGACCTTATAACTCCCCTTCCACCAGCCACTTTTTCCTATGGGTCTGAGTAGATGATGCTGATAGGCTGATATGAGTCAGATGCGATTGTTAACAGTATGAAGAGTTATTACACTCTAATGTGAGTTGCAAATGAGCCACCTCAGAAGCAGGAAAGAGTGGAGCAAGTCCTGTGGACCCTGAGATTCCTTCGCATGACTCTCACTCTCCCTGACCCAGGGGCAGAGGATCAGTGGCAGCAGAGCCAAGAGCCAAAGCAAGAGAGAGCATGGTGGGTTTCCCAGCCCACAGAAGACGTGAAGCTGAGTGCCTTTGGACTGAGGTGTTTGGTAGACTGGTGTGCCCTCTGGACATTTATCAGCAATTCTAAAAAAGCTTTGTTAACATTGTAGGGGGAGATGGTGTGCAAGGCTGAGGAGAAGCTATCTTCATAAATAAACCTCCTAACTGTGAGTCCTGGTGTGGCGCTGTGGGATAAAACACTGGACCGCGTTGTCGGTTTGAACAACGAGGTAGGCAGTTCAACTCACCAACCACTCCTTGGAGACCCTATACAGAGTTGCTATCAGTTGAAACGATCTCAACAGCTCTTAACAACAACAACTGTGAGTATAGTGTCTGTGTTCTGTATGGCCACTACACTGAATTCTCAAATGCAGATGAGAAGTAGTGAGTGCTATGGGATGGAAGGCTTGGTGGCCAGCCTGGATCAGGAAGGCCACAATTGGTGTTTATTGGTTCCAACATACTCAGAGGAGCCTTGGAAGAAAGGCCTGGTGATCAGCTTCCTTGATAACCATATGAACAGTCCCACTGCGCACACATCTGGGGCTGCTATGAGTCTCAATCAACTCCATGGAAACTGGTTTTGTTTTCTTTTGAGCCTGGATCAAATGGTAAATTTCCACTGATAACATTAGAAATTCACCTTGGTACAATACTATTGGCTCAACTACAGACTTTGTTTGGATTGCTCTAGTTTTTGCACTAATGTCATTAGTGGAGAAACTGGAGAAACCCACGAAATTCGTACGTGAACCAATAGTATTGTTGGGTACCATTAAGATTAATTTCTTAGATTTGATAAATAGGAGGGGGTTTCAAAAAGTTCATGGAAAATTCCATAATCTTTCAATTCCATTTTCCCACAAACTTTTTGAAGCCCCCTCATATACCATTAGCATTAGGGAAGGTGGGTGAAGAGTATATAAGAACCGGCTGTACTATCTTTGCAAATTTTCTGCGATTCTAGGATTCTATTTTAAAGTGCTGTATTTTGGACAGTGAGTTTCTATGATCGTCCCAGTTACAATCCCCATTTTAGAGAAGAGAGAGTGAAGGCTCAGAGAAGTTCAGCATCTTGTCCGAGATCACACAGTAAAGAGTCCAACTCCAGAGCCAGCTTCCACTACCTCCCAGAGCTCTCTGCACTGGGTGCAGTCATCCATGATGTGGGTGTCATTTTCAAGGTGGGGAAACTATGAAAGCACAAGGCTATAATCCCAGAAGCTTACAGCGCATGCCCTGCCAACTGTCTCTGTCTCCCCACGTGAAGGGTGGAAGCATGGTCCTAAGTGTCCCTCGGGGGTCCTGGAGCCCTCAGTGAACCTGGAGGCAGCCCCCACCTGGTCCCGCCCTGCCTACCTCTTCCACCAGCAGGCTCTGGAGCTCACGCAGACAGTCCTGCATGCGCTGGCGGTCAGCGCTGTCCACCACCCAGATGAGGCCATCGGTGCTCTCAAAGTAGTTCCGCCAGTAGGACCGTAGGGATTTCTGGCCGCCCACATCCCAGATGTTCAGCTTGAATCTGGGCACGAGATGAGTCAGTTGGAGGGTCAGCCCGGTCCTCCTCCCACCCTCCCTGCCCAGCTCTGGGCCTACCCGCTCACCCGCGGTGTTCTAGGGTCTTGATGTTGAAGCCCAGTGTTGGGGAAATGGTGTCGATGTCTTCCCCATTGAACTTCTTAAGGATGGTGGTTTTGCCAGCATTGTCCAGACCACTGAGGTACGCTGAGTTAAGGAGAAAAGCTGGTGCTCTGCTGGTTGGTGGCAATGCCACTGAGCAGTCAAAGTCAGCTGAGCACATGCCTGGCTCACTATAGGCCCATAGTAAACATGAAGGATCAAGAAATAAACATCTTCTCACTATCTGACCAATAAAGTGCGTTGTCACCCCTTCATTCATTTCACAAATGTTCACTAACTACCTACTATGTGCCAGGGGTCCTTTGGGGGCTAGGGGCATGCCAGAAACATCCCTGCCCCCTAGCAACTCAAACAAAAAGATAGCTGATTAAGTGCAAATCAATGAGAAACTTAATGTCCTCACTGCCAGAGGCTGGGGAGCGTCAGCCAGCCAATGAGGAGGCTCCGAGAGTGTCTTCCCAGAGGGCTCTTGTACCTCGGGCACCAGGAACTGCCTGAGATGTTTGAGCTGAGGTCCAAACTATACAGAGCCAGTTTTTTGAAGGACTAGGGAAGAACATTCCAGGCAGAGGGTATAGCATGAGCCAAGGTTTGGGGGCAGCTACCCTTGCTCATTTCTGTTTCTAAATATACCAAACCCTTCAGTGCTGAGTGAGTGCACAAGGTATGGTGAGCTCAGCTGTGGGAGAAAACGACCCTCTTCTTCCTTTCACCACTTTAGGGGGCACCTGTGTGTGTACATGTATGTATGTGTGTACATACACTCAGGCTCTGGGCTCAGCCTTTTATTGGTTATCTGGGATCATGAGACGACCTTCCTGAGACCGAGCCACAGCCCCTGATAAGAGAAGCTGCTAAGACCCTCCCCTCACCCTCATGATTCCTTCTCAGCGAGATCATTCCCATCAGCTGACAAACTTGCTGTGGCTACTTTGAAAAAGCAAACAAAACTTCCTCTTGTTCCCTCTGCCCCATCTAACTAGTCATTTGTTTCCTTCCTATGACAGGCAAGCTCTTCAAAGCAGCTGTCTCCATCACCCTCTCCAACCCCTCTTGTATTTTTTCCAGAACCCAATCCCACCAGGGCCCTAAATCTGCTCTTGTCAGGTTTGTTCCCCGGTGGCCTCAGTGGCTGCTCAGGACTTGTTTGGTTTAGGCCCTGTCTTCTGGCTCTACCAGCATCCCCTGACAGAGTGGTCTATCTGTCACTCCTACCTCTGCTCCCAGATACCGCCCTTGCCAAGGTCTCCTCCTTCCTCCTGGCAGCTCCTTGTCATCTCCATGACCTCTTGATCTGAACACACCTCACCCTCTTCCCTGGTCACACTCTCTAGATGAGCTTGTCTGCCAATACTGTAAATACCACCTTAATGCCCTTGATTCTCACCAAGCTGTTCCCTTGCCCACCAATCCAAATACTCCGATGTCCCAGAGGTTATCTCACAAGGCCACTACTGGGCTTTCATCTTTCACGCCATCTCCACCTGCTCTGCCCTGGTCTCCATCAACTCAGCAAGGGGCTCTCATTCCTCTAATCGCTCTGAGCAAGACACCCAGGAGTCAGGTTTGACTGATGGCTCCCTTGGCCAATCCAGCAGCAAGTCCTGCTACCGGCCCACCCATCACATCTTGGTATTAGCCACCATCCTAGTTCACCTGTCTTATTGCCAACTGCCCTCTAACTGGTCTCTGTGTACCTGGCTTCTATTTGCAACACAAAAGTAAGACAAAGTCAGTCCACATTTCCCCTCTGTACAAGACCCTGCCGAGGCTGTCTGATCCCTTGAAGGCGCCTTCACACCTCCCTGACCCTCAGTGTTGCCCTCCCTGCTAGCTCTCTACACACACTACCTATGAGGGCCCCAGTGGAGCACCTTTTGGGTCCTCTGCACTTGCGGTTGGCTTTGCCTTGACCCCAGATCACTACGGGGGCTCCCCCCTCCCCCTCACTTTACTTAGCTGTCACATTCATGTAGGTTTCTTGGCTCCATCTATTTTTTTTTTTTTAATCCTAATTTTTCTTCACCCACACAAAAAATCCCACTGCCATCCAGCCAATTTGGACTCACAGCGACCCTTGTAGGATGTCACTGGGGATTCCATATTGTTCTCCACACATACTGTAGGGTTTGCATCTTTATTTTTTGGACCATCTTTCTTTCTTCGGCATTATATAACCTTTAGGACAGTACTTTACAACAAGAGGAGGACAAGGGCTTTGTTTTGCTGTTTTACTTCAGTCCCTAGGCCAGCGTCTAGCACATAGCTGTTGTTGGTAAATGCAGTCGGTTCTGATTCCCAGACCCAGTATAATGTTTTCGAGGAGCAGCTAGTGGGTTTGAACAGCGGGCCATGTGGTTAGCAGCAGTCCAGTGCTTATACCACAGCATCACACCAGGACGCCTACTAACACATAATTGTTGTTGTTAAGTGTCGTCGAGTCGATTCCGACCCATAGCGACCCTGTATAGGGGTTTCCAAGGAGCGTTCTGGTGAGCTTGAAGCACCAACCTTGCAGTTCAAACGACAGAGGCACAGTGGGCGTACTGCGCCCACGGGATTCCGAACTTGAGACAGAGCCGGGGCCCCCGCACCTGGGACAGGGTGGGCAGAGGTCAGAGCCCGGCGGACAACAGCCCCACACTCCAACCAGGCCGCTGAACGGTGACGTCCAAGTTACCGCTGGACCTATCTCCCGTTACATCTAGGCCACCTGGTCCCTCCACAGCGCCTTCAGAGCCCCCACCTTTGGTGTTTAGCCTGGAGCACCCCCTGCCCAGAGCTGATGGTACGGTCTCCTCCCAGCCCCATGCCAGAAACGATTGGTAGGGCCCACGTGAGTGACGCACAATGGGCAGTTGGTACGGGTCGACCGGCCGCTCACCCCACGCCCAGTAGGGGGCGCCTGGCAAACCCCACCCCCACCCCCAGCGGGGACCCCACTACCCTCGCGACTTCGGAGTCCGGGAGGATACAGCATAAGTAGTCGCAGCTCCCGTTCTTTTTGCTTCATCTTCTTCAGAATAGTCAAAAGCCCCATGGTCCCAGTAGCCCCCTCCCGTCCGCCGTTTCTTTCTAGTCCGGACCCCCACTCCTTGCTCCTATTGGCTATCATGCCTACTGACAGCACAGCCCATTGGTCGGCTCCTCCGTTTGGTCCCGCCCCCGCCTCCACGTGACTTGAGAACCTCCTGGTTGAGCCGCGGCAGTGGTGCCCCTAGCGGCGAGGCGTCTTCTGCGGGTCACCTGCCTTAGCCCTTCGCGTCCTGAGGGCCGAGTTTTCACGAGGGCAAATCTATTCCGTTCTCCCCAGTACCCCCAAACTGGGCCAGGAACAGAAACTTGGAGTTCCTGAGTTCGATCTTGGCCGCGTAGGAATTACCTGCAAAGAGATGTGGCCAGCTCGGGGCTCTTCAGAACCGAGTGCCCCGCCACCTGGGGCCATCCTGGAGTCGGTTGCAGGAAAATGTGGTCCAGATCCTGCCCCTCTTGGGCCTTGGCATCGTATTAAATTTTCTAATGACAGAGCAGGAATTGAGCCTCCCGTTTAAGCTCTTGAATACCGATGATGCCCCCTAGGGGCCGTTTAGAAATGTACTGGACGTTTTTGGGTTTATTGAATGACGGGAAGAGAACCTGCATTTAGAGGGTGGAGAGCAGGGATCTCAAGCACAAGAATTGTCCTGCCCACGAGATCCATAGTTTTCCTTTTTGAGGAAAACAATCCCTCCATTTGCTGATGGCAAAATTGAGGCCACAATGACTGGCAAATAGCAGGTTCTGAGTAAATACTGTTTTGTCCAAATGTTTGATTCCTTATCTTAATCTAGTACCCACAGGTACAGAAAAGTGAAGAAACGGAAGCCAGGGACCAAGCAGATTGTAAGCTTGGAAAAATGGACTTTGGGCTTAGTTTGAACCCTTCACACAGCCCTCCACTCGTTAATGCGGGTTGTTGTTGCTAAGAGCTGCCAAGTTGGTTCCAACTTATAGCAACTCTATATATAGGGTTTCTGAGGAGCGGCTGATGGGTTGAACTTCAGATCTTGAAGTTAGCAGTCCAGTGCTTATTCAATAATTCCACATGAGGACGGCACAAAGAAATCAACCAGTTACCCCATGTATGAAAATCCCACAGCAGATTTTCAATGAATGAGTTGACAGGCTTTTCTTCCGAGGCACCTCTAGGTTGAGTTGAACTTCCAACTTCTCTGTTAGTATCTGAATATTTTGTTTGAGGCTCCAAATTTTCTGTTAGTAGTTGAATGTTTTCATCCTTTGCACTATCCAGAAACTTCTAGCAAAGAGTGGTGGTGGTGGTGTGCTGTTGAGTCTGTTCGACACATAGCGACCCTGAATAGGGTTTCCGTGGCTGTAAATCTTTACGGGAGCAGAAAGCCTCATCTTTCTCCCACAGAACAGCTGGTAATTTCAAACTGCTAACCCTGAGGTTAGCAGCCTGATTTGCATAGAGTGGGCTCCATCTAATGCTTGGGAAAGAAGCAGCAGGCACCGGCTGAAGATAATGGCTAACCTTCTGGTAATCATTTACAATCATTTACACCCCATTTTCTCCATCATCCTCTCAGCAACCTTGAAGCCTGTACCCTTTATGTAGATGTGATAAGAGGTACAGGGAGTCTAAGGAATTTGGGGCAGCATTTCCTAACTCAGGCCTTGTCTTTGGTCTTTCCAACAAGGCTTCGAACCAGTTCATTCCAGTTCAATTCCCTGCTGAGAATTTGCATTTCCAGCCCAGATATATGGAATCAGATCTGTAGGTGATTCTTATATATACAGATAGGGTCCGGGCACCTATAAGAATCACTTGTAAAATGTTGCTGAAATGGCATGAAAGACATGTCTGACCTCCTCCGGCTTCAAGAGACAAAAGGAGGAGGCTCACCAGTCTAAGGTCGATCCTAGGAGGAGGAGGTCAGACATGCCTACCCTACAACCCTCTTTACCCTCTTCTGACACCAACTGTCCTTCCCATAGCACTCTGCTTCTCTGCTGGGTTCAATAATTTTTTGCAGTGTCACAGACAATCCTCACGATTATGTGATTTATTAGGGAAGTGAGCATGGTACGATTTAGAACTAGAGACAACTAGGAGACAGCAGTTCTTGATCCCGAGTGCCTTTTCTTAGCCATATTACCATAGGCATGCCTCTGTCTGCTCCTCAGCCTTTCAGCCACATGGCCTCTTGGCCTCCACTCTAATAGAGTAAACGTTAACAAAGCACCTTTAGCACTATTGGTAAATGCTCAAAGGGGACCCCATTCTATAAGCCCTAAGGTACTCAGCCTCAGTTGTTTGTGGACTGGGAAGCCCATGGCTGTCTCTCCATGCCACTGCCACCATGATTCTGCACAGGGATCTTGCTCTCTGCTCATGTTTCTTTTTTCTTGATGGTCTTGAGATCCTTTGTTCCTATTTCTGACATGGCTGCCAGAATGGCAAAACTAACCGAGCCCCACATCAGAGTCCCACATACCCTTTTTGCATGGCCTCATCCAATCATTTGGTGAGAGTTACAAAGCCCATGATTTCTTGTTGCTGTTAGGTGCCATTGAGTTGGCGCCGACCCATAGCGGACCTTATACAAAACACTTTCCAGGTCCTTCCATGGAGTTTGTTTAGAGGGAGAAGCCTGGAGTGAATTTGAGCTTACAAAAGGAGGTTGTGAACAGATGAGGGGGCTGCACAGAATGGGGTTCCAGGCTGGGCACTCATTACCCCTTTGCCTTTCACTAAGCACACAGGAAAGAGCGTGAGCATAATCCTCATCAAGGGTTTGGAGTCACCATGATGGCCAACAGCAACAGTTAAAACGTGAATTGCTCAGAACCTCTGAGTCTGTTGTCCTGCCTCAGGGGTCTGGACCACAGAAATTCTAGTTCTAGACCTGAACATTTCTAACAAGGAAGGAAATTCTCTGTGGCATACTTTGGAGCAGCAAACAATCAGAAGCAACATGTTATAGATTGAACTATATTCCCCATAACATATGTTGTAAATCCTAACCCTTGTAAATATGGATGTAGGGTGTGTCTTTAGTCAATCTCTTTTGAGTCAGTTCTGACTCATAGCACCCCTGTTTATGGTTTCCAAGGAGTGGCTGCTAAGTTTGAACCACTGACCTTTGGGTTCTAACTGACCTTGTGGCCCAGTG